CACAGGGACATTTTAGTTTGTTCGACCCGAAGATGAAATTTGAATCAGGTGAAGCCTGAAGAGGAGCTCAGACAGCAACGAATCGATGATAACGGCATTGAGGAGGGACCTGACGGGAATGTCCTCTGACCCCTCTACATTTCTGCGCTTGAGAGCGGGACTCGCAGCCCATCGGGCGCTCTCATGGACAGTCGTTGACATTTGAGGCCTGTCTGTGTGTATGTGGTGGGGGGGGCGTGAACTAGAGACACAGCAACGCAGCGCGGGACACAGAGGGAGAGAGAGCGAGGCGGAGACGAGAGAGAGACGTGGACGGAGGGGACGCGAAGGAGCCAAGGTGTGTCTCTGTGTGTGTGTGTGTGTGTGTGTGTGTGTGTGTGTGCGCAGCAGAAAAGCCCACATTGCAGCGTGTCAAGAGTGCTGTCAGTCACTCATCCATCCAGCTGGCTAATTGGCTCCTTACCCTCTCCCTCTCTTTCCCTCCCTTCCTCCCCCTCTCTCTCTCTCTACCTCCCTCCCTCGCTTGCCCGCTCTCTCTCTCTCTCCCTCCATCAGGCGTTGCTCCTAACTGCGCGCCGGAGGCCAAAATGCAGATGAGCTGTGCCTCGCGTCAGGGGGAGCTTCTGCTCTGCTTAATTATCTTAGTGAGAGAGTGTGTGTGTGTGTGCGTGTGTGTGTGTGTGTGTGTTTGAGAGAGAAAGAGTTAGCTTACCAGCTCACACACACACACACACACACACACACTGTTCATGCTGCTGCTGCTATGCTAAACAGCAAGGCATCCTGGGAATTGCAGTGACAGCTCATTTTGGTTTTTTCGCAGTCTATGTATGAAAGCTGCTGAGAGACAACTTCCCCCCCCCCCCTGCCTCCCCCTAATTCCCTCCCCCCTTCCAACACACACTCACACACATGTACCCCCATTGGCATATATAAACGCGCACACACTCACACACACAAAAACCTCTCTCTTTCTCCCCCCGTGGTCATGGGAACGGGTCCCGGGGCTGTCACTAAACCCCCCAACACCACCAGCACCACCAGCACCACCACCCGGCCCTCCCTCATCGCCGCGGTGACGGGGCTTGTTGACCAACGCCAGCGGTCATCAGGGCACCATGGGAAATCTTTGTCACCATTTTGTCAGCAGAATGACAGAAGCTGTTAATGTCTCGCCTCTCGCCCTGACACGAGACGCCGGGCTGACAGACTCTGACACACACACACACACACTCCTCGAGATACACACTGCTGTGTGCGCAGCCGTACACTGACACAAATGGCACACTGGATACCGACTCAAACACACTGAGGCAAATACCCACACAGCATTCATGTCCACATGTTGTGCCCCCCCCCATCACCCACTCTCCCCCATCGCACTCAACTAAACCAGTCAGTGTGTGTGTGTGTGTGTGTGTGACACCTAGATGTGTATGGATGTTTAATGTGTTTGACTCGGGAGTGTTAATGAGGATATGTGTATGAGTGTGTAGGGCTCGTGTGTGTGTGTGTGTGTGTGTGTGTGTGTGTGTGTGTCTGTGTGTGTGTGTGTGAGGAGACAGAGTCACAAGTCTCCGTACGGGAGGCGTCCGCACGGCGCTCTGATCAATAACCTTTACTATCGCGAGGGGAGATGGGAGCCTGGGCCGACAACTCTAACTGAACGTTATGAGAACATGATGAACTCCGGACAGGGCGCACACACTCGCACACGCACACACACACACACACTCTGATATACAGGCAGCTTCTCTGGACAGCCAATTACCGTTCCTCATAATCCACTTGCTCCACACACAGCCTCTGCCATCCGCCTGCGACCAGTCGGTGTACAACCGACAGACGAGATGTGTTGAGTGTGAGTGTGTGTAGTTGTGTTGTGCGTGTGGGTTTGGGTGTGTTGTCTGAAGCACGCAGGCCAACGTTGGGTGGTTTATCAAAGTGATCCGCTCGACGTCTCAGGACCTCGCTGAGTCCGACCCGTGCATCACAAAACCATTTCAGGTACGATTTCCAAACTCCGGTGTGAAGATGGTCCCAAAATTCTGGGCCAACCTGTTATTAGCGGGGGGGGGGGGGAACACTTGTATTTTTGGGGGTTCCAGTTCTTTATTTTCTTGCATATTACTGCAACCCATTCTCTGCTACTTCTCCGTATGAAAAGCATCACAGAGAACATCACACATCATTGACCTGCAACTACTTTTAATTCGCCTGCCACTCACAAAGTTTTCTCTTGATTAGAATGTATCCAGGTATACATTTTGCAGCTGGTTGAGTCATTTTAACTTTCTTAACATTGCACCTGTTCTCTTCTTACATTTACACAAAAGGCACGAGGGCCGTTTGTTTGACAGCCCCGTAGTTTTTTTCTGATCCACAGTCTGATGTCCTGACAAGTAATGACACAGTTTTGTCATCTGAGCACACAAACACACAGCTCCCACACTTCTGCAGTATTAAAAGTTGAACTTGAACCAGTGTGGTTATTTAAAATGACTTGAGGAGCCACAGCAAACATTACGGCTGCATATCTGTATTGAACACCAGCAGTCGGTTGTGGTTTAGCATCTGTTGCTACTGGTAAGCAAAGCTAGATAACGGAACAAAAGCGTGACTGACATTGATACATGATTTGGGAAAGCTGTGTTAAGTAAAAATTCAGATATCTTTATTTAGTTTATGTAAATTATGTTGGAGCTTTACTATGGCTTTTCTTGTTGTATGTATATATATATATATATATATATATATATATATATATATATATATATATAGAGAGAGAGAGAGAGAGAGAGAGAGAGAGAGATACGTTGGTTGTTCACCCTCTATACGACCATAAAGTGTCATTTCACACATCATATTATGCTTAGTAAACAAACATGAGACAAGGTGTTCCTTAGAGGTATGTATGTGTGTTTTTTCACTTCTTCCAGTCTTGATGCTTTATATTCGATAAAGGAGCACATGCTTATTTCAATTGCAAACTGTTGCATGAATGTTGAATAATGTTGCTAATTTGAAAGGTGTTGTGTGTTATTTATCAGGCGTGGAATCTGTTGATTCCATTCAAAATGGTGTTAGTTTCATAATGTCATCTTGAAAATAGATTATATGTGTGATCTTAATACGTTGTATCTGTGTTGTGCTTTAAAGGATTTTCCAGGCACTTCACACAGGAAAAATCTAAATAAACTGGAGCAATAAAAAAAATAAACAGAGGTGACATAACCGTAAGAAGCAAAACCACAGTTAATTAGCATCACAGGTTAAAATAAGATTTAAACATACGAGTGTCTAGTGACTACTTCTCTAGTATTAAGGGGGGGGGCAGAAATCCCTACAGCATTCAGTCCATTCATCAAGTGCAGCTTTCAGCAGGTGCCCCCCCGCGTGAGCCGGCTATAGGACGAGATGAGAGACCCCCTCCCTCCCCCTCTCCCACCTTCCTCCCCCTCCTGAACCCCCCCGCGCGCTGGCGGAGGTAGATTTGTAGTGACAGCAGCGGGCGCCTCCGCCAGTCATTCCCCATGAAAGCTTCCACGTGATCAAAGCCCTGCTGCGGCGGGGGGAGGCGGCCCGCTACGCCGCCGCACGTCGGCGTGTCTCCGGTGTCTCGCAGGGTTGAGGCGGGTTTGAAGCTTTAAAACACACACACACACACACACACACACGCGCGCGCCCTCTCTCAGTTTTTCTCTCCCGGCTATTTACATTCGCGCTCCGTTTCGCCTCCCCGGTGAAACGTTGGTTTTATTGCCGGCAGTCAGGTGAGAGGAGGTTCCGCTGAAATATTCAGCTCCGCGCGCTCCGAGTCAAGGACTTCTTCAACGGGAGGATAAATCTTTAAATACATTTTAAACCGAAGTGTCTGACTGACTGTATGTAAACAACCTCTCCCAGCGCTGCGGCGACCGGCACCCCAAGAGGTGGGGGCGGCGTGTTGTAGCACTCCCTAACACGCTTCATTACCCACCAAACTTACCGGAGAGAAGTGGCATTCTCTCCCCACCCAACCTCAAGATAAAGAAGGCCCGGCTCGGAGCTGAACTTTTAAGTAATATTCCCCTCATTTTCCCATTATTCACGTGTTATTAAAGAGATTCTCGGAGAGCCCCCCCCCCAGTCTCCAGCAGACACCATCGTTCACCTTCAATTAAGCGCGCGGGAACCCGAAGTCAGTCTACCGCTGACACCTCGGTGAGGAGGCCTGCATGCAAAAGCTAAAAAAGATGTTTGTGCCATGCAGATTTTTTTTTTTAATCAGTTAAAAGGCGTTGGCTGTTCACCCCCCCCCCCCCTCCTCTCCTCTCCTTTCCCCCAAATGCATTGTTATCTGAAGCACAATGCCTTGATCGTTTCCTTTGCAAACGTCTCTGCTGAATTAAACATGGCCCATCAACATCAGTAGAAGTTGTTGTGCATCAATCAGAGCAGAGTTTAAAGGCACGTAGAGAAGATGCATCAGATTACTGGAAAGGGAAACTACTTAAATCTACACGTGAAGACCCTAATCCAAGTACCTCCATTGAGGTAGTCAAAAAGTCTTATGAGAATACAACTATTCTGAAAGTGTTTAGTTTCACATGAGGTTTCTGTTTAATGGCCAATTTAGAGAAAATAAATGGTTAACTAATATTTCCCAAATCATTGCAATTCACTTATGACGATAAACTCATTTCCTGATTAAAGGTAAATCGTTACAAAATACCAATACAATCACAATGACGTTATTGTTTATTCTTTAAACCGCACTTTCATTGAGCTTGATTTGGGCTGGTGGCTCAGCAAAAGGATGAATGCAAAAGTCTTTTTGACAAACCAAGAAATATGTTTACTCACAGAACACACTTGAAGAAAAGTAATCAAATATTTTAAAAGCTGCATTCAGAGGCATTTGTGTTCCTAAGAATCACAAAGCACAGATGTGAAAACACAATTGACCGTGGTAGATTTTACCAGAGGAAAGAAAGAATCGGGCCAGACATGAGTGTCAGTGTGTTTATCAGCACACACTTTAATTCCAACAGTTCATAAGAAGAAAAAAAATATTACAGCCTATACAAACATTAGGATCTCTGAATCTCTTCTGAGTGCTTAAACTTTGCTATGTTACATTCCACTCAGTGACGCCGCTGACGTGATGCACCAAGTCCATAATATCATACGCAACTTTTCGTGACAACATTCTGCTGTAATTGAACAGACTCTCAGCCAGGTTGAATTCACACAAGATCCCTGTAAAAACACACTCGCATACCATTTCCAACTCTTTTCTGATGAAGGCAAAGTGGCACTAGTATGTACACTCAGTTGTGTGTTAGTGCGTGTGTGTGTGTGTGTGTGTGTAGCTGTCACGGTGAACCTGATTACCAGGTGGTGTTTCACTGGGGGTAGGCCTCGATCACCATGGCATGACCCTACAAAACACAAGAACGCAAACAAACACGTCAACATCCGTTTGTTTCACTCAACGAATGCTTAGCATTGGGAAACTAAATGGCATGTTTGTAGTTTCTCTGCGCTGTCACACCAATCCCCGGGTAAGTTACCTGTCCTCCGGCAGCACAAGCCGCCACCAGACCGTACTGTCCTCCCTCCTTCTGCAGCCGGTGTGCAACTGTGGTTACCAGCCTGCAGCCGGTGGCCCCGAACGGATGACCCAGAGATAGAGAGCCCCCCCACAGGTTGAACTTCTCCATGGGAGGAGCTCCCACCTACACACACACAAAATACATCTGGTCAGGACTTATACTGTATTTACACAAGCATTAATGTGTGAAATCAGAACTCAATACTCTACTAATTCTTTTGTTAGTACAGTATATAAACTAAGCAAAACAATTATAGCATCTAGTTGTTTGTTGATTTTTTTATAATATTTTATATTTAGTTAACCTTTTTTTATAGCCAGGATAATCACAGTGAGAATGGAAATCTCATTTTTCAATAGAGTTCCTGGCCAAAACGGCAGCGTGAAAGTTTTGTAAGAGGTGTCTGCCACAAAAACCTAAAATGTTGCAGCAAAAGAAAACCAGCATTTCTTTACCTTTGATTTTCTGCCCAGGTACGTCTGGCCAAACCAATCGGAGTCCATAGCCTTCAGATTTGCCATTATCTGCCCCTGGAAAACAAATACACACCGCAGAATTACCAGACAGATTAAGAGGACACAGTCACCCAGGAATGCAAAAGCTTGTACGGTTTCTTTCCCATCGGAAGTGAGTGAACTTACTGCGAATGCCTCGTGGAACTCAAAGACGTCGATGTCACTCATGGCCAAGCCGGCTCGTTCCAGGACCTTCGGTGTACCGTATGTTGGCCTGCGAGAGTTAAACGGGGCACAGAGTCACACTGCCGGTCTTCAGTAAGGTAAAAACACACACAAGGTTAGCTATAATAATTCCACCCCAAATGGTGTGAGAATCCCTTGTTTGCAGAAGGTTGAAAGCTAAAATAAATTTGTGAATAAACTCAAAACTTCAAATAAAAGCAGTGAGAGGACATTTGTACTCAGGGACTCACCCCAGCAGCAGCTGATCTTTGGGGTCCTGGGACACGTAGACAAAGTCTCTGCCAGGATGTAAACACAATATGATCAGCACATGTGAAAGAGCATCTTCGGGGTGAAGTGAGGCTGCTGCAACAAACAAAGGGTGCAGATACCTGAGGTACGCTTTAGGCTTGTAACCCATAGCCAAGGCCTTCTCTTCAGACATGACGAGCACAGCAGAGGCCCCGTCGGTCTGAGGACACATACACACAAGCAGCTTGTTGAATGCGGGGGCTGTTTACGAGTCGTGAGAATGCTCCAAAAATAAATAAAAATTAAATAACAGTTGAAAGGGAAATTGCAGGACAGTTTGAACGGTACCAGGAAGGAGGAGTTGGCGGCGGTGACTGTGCCGTGCGGTTTAATAAAGGCGGCCTTCAATCTTCCCATTTGCTCCATGGACGATGGGCGGATGCCGTTGTCCTTGGAAACAATATCACGACCTAAAGAGAAAAATGTAATAAAAATTATATGCATATAAAAAACACACTTCATGTGTTCTATGAAGCATGCTCCAAATTGAACTGTATGTATGTATGTTTAAGAGATATATATATATGAATATAAAACACTTAAATCTGTTACAATTAATACATTAAACTGAAAATACAGCCAACTGCAGTTAGGCACACAGCCATTGATAAAGAGTTTACCTGGCACTTTAAAGGAGATGACATCCTTCAGCAGACCTGCGTCCTGGGCACTTTTGGCCAGAGTGTGTGACCGCAGAGCGAACTCGTCCTGCTCCACTCTGGAGACCCCAAATGCAGCAGCCAGTCGGTCGGCACTGTGGCCCATGGATTCAGCCGTGGAGAACTCCGCCACGGCGGGAAGCTATACACACACGTCATTAAATGTCACAAGGGGAAATCCCACGGTGTGTGTGGCAAAAGAATACATGCATCAAAAAGCTGCTCGATCTGAAGCGAATGTAGTGAATATAAACCTCTGGGGAGAGATGTGCCATCCTGATGCTGCCTATCAGACTCAGCCTCTGGCCGAGGGTCTTCGCCTTGTTGAGGGACAGCATGGTCTTCCTCATCTTACGGCTATGGCGGATAGGAACATCAGACATGAACTCCACTCCTCCGGCAACCACCGAGTCACACTGGCCTGCAGCAATCAGACCGACAGCTGGAGGGACAAACAAAAAGGTGAAACAAAGCAAAGAAAAACACAATAACACATGTGCATCCTTGTTTCGGTCCCCAACGTTCTTGATGTATGTACCTTACTGTATTAACATACATCTGACCTCAGCCTCCTGCTGGGATTATTTTTATCATCCTTCATCTTCAACATGCCCAGAAGTTTTATGTGCGTTTTGTTGAAAAAAATGAAAGATATTTGTTTCCCTCAATCTGTAGTATCAACGGCGCTATAATTTAGGAGGACGTAGTTCAACTTCCCCTTTGAGGATATAAAAGCCCATATTATAAAGTCAAAATATAAAATGTCAGATGGAAGAGACTTTGAGCGTAGATTTCTGCGGCCGACCTACCGGACGTCATTGCCACATTGGAGGAAATGCAGGCCATGGTGACTGTGTGAGACGGGATCTTGTCAGAGAAGCCGGCACCCAGTGACGCCTGAAATCACAGTAGACAATAAAAGAACAAGAACAAAATCAATGAAGAAATGCTCCTTTGGTTAATATCATGACTTCAGATTGTGGCAAGATGTGCCTGCGGAGCTCCAGACACCAGAGGCACTTTGTCGTTGTGTGATCATACCTCTCTTGCCACGTTGCTGGTTTTGACTTCCTGGATGACTGTTCCATAGATTATGTAGTCCACGGCGTCTTTGGACAAACCAGTCCTCTGCAGCAGACCTCTAGAAAAGCAAAAACAGAACATTTTTCAAGCCACAGTGGCACTAAAATCAAACCATTTCTTATTGTTATACATCAAGAGTCAGACAACATGAAAAACAGGCTTTCAAAAAGACAATGGTGGGAAAAAAAAAAGGTACAACCATACACTGTTAATAACAACTGGTGGTGAAGATTATAGTGCTGTAACAACATTCTCATAAATACCACAACATACGGACACACTTACTGCAGAGCTGCCCTGGCCAAGTCATGTGGCATTAGATCAGCATATCTGTAAATAAACAGAGGTGAAGGCGTTTACCTTCATGCTGAGATAAAGTCATTACACTACAGGTTTCCCTTTCCTCCTGCAGTTATGATGGATAGAAACTCCAGCCAATGAGCTTGGTCAAAAGAAGAAAGCGAAGACGTACGTGGTTCCGGACAGCAGGAAAGGGGTTCGAACTCCTTCCACCAGAACTATGTTCTTCACACCGGGCCGAGATAGAGTCTTCTTGCTCTTTGTCTGGACTGAGAGGAAAGTGAGACAGTAGCAAGCAGTGAGACTGATGGATATGAGCTGAGGAATAAATCAGAGTGTCATCACAAGAGCTTTTGGTTTTCTGTCCAGGTAAACAAAACAATAAGTGGAGGCTTAAGGAGTTTGATGTCACAAGACTATAATCCGGACCAGCACGTGAACGTGCGGGACGTCATTGAAGAGGTCTGACTTACCTTGAGCGTGAAGCTGGGCCGTCGTGCTGAGAGAGCGAGCCCCTGAGACACACACAGGAAAACATTACTCATCCTCAATTACATCATTCAAATCATCATCATGATCATTATTATGATCACATCATTCGATTAACAGCATATAAAGATCAGATAACACCGTTGTTGCAGCACGAGGAGAAAAACTACAGATGTCTGTATTCAAGGCTGGATGGAATAAGTGTCTGTATTCAAGGCTGGATGGAATAAGTGTCTGTATTCAAGGCTGGATGGAATAAGTGTCTGTATTCAAGGCTGGATGGAATAAGTGTCTGTATTCAAGGCTGGATGGAATAAGTGTAAGCAAAAAAATCAAAAGGCTAAATTAACAAAAGTGACAGTGGATGACTTTACTTCTCATACACTGTGTTGTCATTTCAATTTGGATTTTTTGAATTCGATGATTTGATTTTCCTATTTGGTACATTTACCTATTTAGTTTTGACATATATTGGAATATGTGTGAAACATACAACTTTATACAAAACTTACCCAACCGCACCGCCCAGGAAGGGCTGACAGAGCCGGCCCGCATCGTGTTCAGCAACATGGACGCCATTATATTCTGCAAGAGAGAGAAGTTTGTGAAAAGAGTAAAACAGGATGCTGATCAACCAAAATGTTCCTGGCACTGTTTAACATGCATAACATTGTGTTTGAGTGTAGTACTTTGTTTTGATAGTAATGGAAAACTGGATCGCAAACTAGTAGCCAATGCAACATTTACAACATAAAACCTACTTCAGACCTACTCGGATCTCCCTCCGTAGGCTCAAGGTCAATGCGTGTGGCTGACGTGATAATAAACGCTAGTCATCCCTGCACAGCATAACAGCTAAAGAGAGACTAGTGCCATCTAAACTATCAAAGGACTAAATATTTGAAATGGTTTTAGTTATCATTCTCCAGCGTATCAATACAACGTTATCAGACGTGCGTTTTGCTGCTCCTCCTTTCTGAGAGATATCTGACACACACACACACACACACACCTTTTAATAGATGTTTTTCTATGGTATCAAATATCAATATTTTTTTAAAGAAGGTATTGTATCAATGTCACAAATTCCAATGACAACAAGAGTTTGAAGTCTAAATATAACTGAAAATAAAAATCCTGCCAAATAACGAAGTGCATTTTCTAGTGTAATAGAGTAAAGTTATTTAGTAAATGAAATACATTTTATATACTATATTCTGTAGGATTTCATTCAGAATACAAACAATACAATTATCCCCAGTAGAAGCATATTGACTAACTAACATTAAAATGCTCTTAACCTTTTAGACAAACGAATGATATAATGGTTAACACTGCGAAACGAGCCATATTTCGAATTATACTTCTGTACCATTACTTTAAAAAAAAGTCTTATTACCGTTACTTCAATTGTAATATTCTTAGACTATTTACTTCAAATTACTGAACTTGCCCCTCGAACTATAAACCTAAAGGCATTTTAACGGTTTGATATCAAAGCGGGTTTTGGTCCTTAACGATGAGGCGCGCAGACAACAGCGCTGACGGTCACGCGGCCACCCGGGCTGTGAACCTTCACCCACATCCTCCTGCTAGCAATGACGGGCACAGGAAAGTAGCAACACGGGGGGGGGGTCAAACAGGACCACACCTGTCTAGGAGTCGTTTACTGTCGATTGGGAATTACAAGTAACCATGAGCCCAACGATAAAAAAAACCCGCACAGAAACGATCTGAGGCTATAATAAGCAATCAACGACCGCTGTGGGAGCAAAATCCAAGCTAGTAAAGCTAACTCGTTAGCCTGACGTTAACGTCTTCCTTCAGCTGTGACGTACTACGCTTTTCTTGGGGTGAGGAAACGCATTTGCTGAGTCCGCACCGTTGTTATCCTCTTTCTAGTTGTAAAAGCATCAGGGGAAACTCTGTCGGAGCGTGACGGTACCTGTACTGGAGTTTTGTCTTTGCCGGCACCTACTCGCTGTCACAGGATCGGCCGGCTGCAGCAGCGCTGGACTGCGTTTTCAAGGACCCACCGGTTTGTTAGCAGACCGAAAAAATGCCTGACGAACAGACGCTACCTAGAAATGAATAGTCTCATGCGTACGGGTGTTTAAGAGCGCTATCGATTGCACATTATGATACGATAATAATACTCGATGCAGCGTTTCCCAAATGAAAGGGGCAATTCGAGGCCATACAAAGCAGTTTATGATACGGCAATACTTCAGCCCCCTTTGGGGTCCTCTGCTCTCATCGACACTCAACAGGTCACACTAGTTACTATTGTAATCATGTTCACAGATGAGAAACAGGACTTGACCTTAATAAGCATTTTAGTGGTCATTGGAGGAAGAGCTGCTCAGTTTTTTACTGCAGCTATGCCACAGGCCCGGTTACAAGTCACACATTCAAAATATTACTTTAATGTACAAAAGTATTAGTATCGTTACTATTATTGAAGCTATACGTCGTCCGTAGCTGCAACACCGTTGTTCTAAGCAGATCCTGACATGTTATTATTATACCTTAAGACGCTATCTGTTCTAGATGTCGCGTTACCTGCCTTCTCACACATTTCCATGCTTGGGCTATTAGAATAAAAAAGGAGCCTGACCTGTTGCACAGATTTGAACAGGCTTCCAGTGAGGGAAGAATGGTTAACATGTTTTGCTCCCACTCTGCGATCTCCACTTGGACTTGCTGCCTCTCCTTGTCCTCTGCCTGAAACAATTGCACCGTGGGTCTGATTTAAACAAAGACAGCACAGTGCAAACCAAAAACTGACCGTGAATCGGGTTCATTATTCAAACCACCAAGAGGCTTCTACACACTCTTTTGAAAGTGCTGAGTTTAAACCAGGTCTAGGGCTGCCGATAAAATTTGATTATTAAAAGCGTTGGAGGCGGCATGGAAGCACCACGTCGTCACGCGGCGTTAAACATCACCACACTGTCTGCACGAGAAGTAGAGGGTGGATACCTGACCCGTCGGGTCCCGTCGGTACCCGTCGAGCCGGGTTCGGATAAATATTTAGAAAATAAAGTCAGGCTCGGGTCGGGCTCGGACACATCAGCGCGATAAGGCATTGAAGTCCACAACAACGTGGATTAAACCTCGAAGGTTGGACAATGTACATAGTTTTGCGTCGTGTGTATTCTATTTCTCCGTTTTTGCATTGTTTATAATTTATTTTCAACGTGCTCGTGCGTTTAACAGCCCTTTGTTGATGCCCGAGTTTAAAAAAGGCAGCCTATTTATTTAAAAAAACGTTCGTGAATGTGTCATTATTATGAACAGTTGAGGTATTGACTCCGTCGGGCTCGGGTCGGGTTTGGACAAAATAGTTTAAAGGCTGTCGGACTCCGGTCGGACTCGGGCCGGGCCGCGGGCCGGGCCCCGACAGAAAAAGTCGGCCCGATCCATGTTCTGAGGCAGCGGTTCCCAAATTCAAGAATGCCGCGGCCCACTTTGAAATCTGAAAATCTCTGATCAAAACATAATGATTAAATGACATTAAGAATTTAACCAAAATCAAACATCCGCGAGCAAAAGTCCGTCTCGCGCGAGCCAAAGTTTGTCTCAGCGAGGTACTTGCTTGCTTTCAGGGTCCGATCGATCGTCCAATCCCGCCGCCCCCCTCGCCATACACGCCCTAAGTCTTCGGGTGATTTTAGAATAACTTATTTTCCCCATTAAGATTGTTCAGCTACTGTAGAGAAAATGGCCCCGTCTCTCGCTCTTTAATTTCATGAAGTTCTCGGCGAGAACGACAGCTTTGTTTCTCCGACGCGCCCTGAAACAAGCTCCATATCTCACGCGCTTGAGCGCCGCTCAGCATCTCGCCGTCGTAGACGAGCTTTGGCGTGTTTCGCAGAGCGCCTTGAGCGCCGTGCACAACCAGTATGGATCAACCGATTAACCAATTGATCCATATATATAAGGCGCTCCGGATTATAAGGCACTGTCGTTTTTTGAGAAAATTAAAGCCTTTTAAGTTCGCCTTGGAGTGCGGAAAATGCAGTATATTTACTTTAATACTGCTGTCGTTGAACAACGACAGGCGGACAAGAGCAGCCGTTTCGAGCGAGATCCTTATTGTTTTATTAATCTGCCCGTTTAAATTGTTTGTGCTTCATCAACTTATGTTTCACATAACTAATATGCCGCATCATAAATAATTTTATATTAATTACAAACATAAACAGTTAACAGGTGATTACGCACAATGGACACACTTCCAGAGCACCCACGTGTCACGCATCGAGCGTTGCTGCAAGGAGGTCAGGTCAGGTCAGGTGAACTCAGAATGACCTTATTCTCCTGACACCGCGTTCCAGTGACGTTTGGTGAGGTCAGTAAGTTCTATATCGCCGCTAGTTATAGGGAACACGTCATTACCCCCAATGCAATGGGGCAGCGTTTGGCCCCTTTCACACCCAATAACGTGAAAAATAAAGTATTTAATGCAACAAAAAAGGTGTAAAACAATGTATGGGACGTTACCAAGCCATGGACATCAAAAAAAAAAAAGAAAGAAAACGAGCCAGAAAAAGTGCAAACCGTGCAAACCGTGATTGAGACCATTAGTCGCGTTATAGAGGTCTACCTCGAAAAGTTCCACATGGTAGCCACCCAGTGCCAGTGCTATACACTAGTTGGATGGCCGGCGCAGGCTGTGACTCCTAGTTGGTCTGCCGGCAAGGCGGTGGGTGGGACGCCGGCTGGTCAGGTAGGGGTCCTAGACAGCAGCCTGTTCTGGCCGCCTGGCTGGGACACGGGTGGTTAGGCCGAGTGATTGGCCGTTGGCAGGTGGGGGGCCTCCAAAATATGTTTAATGAAATTATCGGCCAATCTTCTAGTGGAAGATGCCTGCTGGCAGCTGGCTTGGAGGTTTGGGGAAGACCATTCTCCTCTCCCTGTAGTCGCGGGCCTCTTTGGTGGCTACCACTACGGCCTGTTGACGATCCCAAGGGGGATCGCCTAATGTATCGCCGATCCCAAGGGGGATCGCCTAATGTATCTGAAATACACGTGGCAACTCCACAACAACAACAAAAATATTACTTTGTTTTAAATATTATAATAATACATGAAGAATATAACAATGAATGTCAGAGAACAATTGATTTTCTTTTAACACCCAGGGAGGAAGAGAATAAAGTGTCAGGTCAGGATGACAACTGCTGTAACCTTGCTACAACTTAGATTAGGGATCTCATGAGTGCTTATAAAGTGCACTCGTATATCGTATAACATTATAACTCCTGGGCCTATAAGACTAGCTGATTCCTCTGATAATTAATCAACCTTTCAGATTCCCTTTGGTTAACCTGTTAGCACAAGATAACATGGATATTGACTAATCATATTCAGTGGTTGGTAACGTAAGAAATATGAACTATGATGGAAACGATCATTTAGCTACCTGACATTGCCGTCAAGAGTTTCATTTTGAACGGTATTTATGGGGTAACACAAAATAAAATGTTTTAGTTTAGCTATAGAATCTTCAAATTTCGCGGTCAAAGTCAAATATATTTTTACTTTCGTGATGACAGGGGAGGCTCCGTCATCATGTCCTGCTCTCGCATAGAAAACGTGAGCGGGGAGCAAAGCTGTTCACTGAATAGGCCTATATGCTTAATCAATTATTTGAAGTCATGAAAGTTGTAGAGTAGCCTGTAAGCGAAATACACTGTAAACATAGATTAGAAAACAAGTCAGTTCTCAATGTGAAAAAAACATGCTGTAGGCTATTTATGATGACATAGAGTGTTCCTTTAACTTATGTTGTCAGTGTAATTGAATTGTGATTGAATTGCTGCTTAACTGGTGTTCTCAGCCCCACAACTCTTAAATTCACCATATAGGACAGGCAATGATGCAGAGAGCACAGGGAGAGGAGAAACACCAGGTCCAATAGAGAGGAGAAGCACAGAGGAGCCATGAACCCCAGAACGCGTGTTCTGGGGTTCATGGCTCCTCTGTGCAAGGCAGGAACCTGACATGGAGGACAAGGAGGCCCTCTGGGCACTACTGTAAAAAGGAGACTCCATATGTAGATAGTTCTTAATCTGCAATTGTCTTGTTGTGTTGACATACTTTTCTTAAATGTAATAAACTACAAACTACTAACACATTTATTCATTGTCATTGATTGTATATGACTTTTACTGATAACATAATCCAATATAGCCAGGACAGCCTTACAGAGTCGCGACGCTTTGTGTTGCGTTGCTTCGCATCCCGTCGAGGTCTGTATGATCACAAAATTCAGAGTTTACCCACCTCTAATTTTACCACTACAGCACTGGCTGTGACTCCTAGTTGGTCTGCCGGCAAGGCGGTGGGTGGGACGCCGGCTGGTAGTTTTGTGCTATGCTCATTGCATTGTACATACCAGGTTTTTCAAAACGTTTTGGTAGAACTATGAAAAGTGCACAGTGATATTCTGGTCTGAAATGCCCTCCTTTCCCTTTGAAGACATTTACTTGGTGGTCCTTTTCTTGCCGTTTTGTCAGAGTCCAGTAAGGTTCCCCATCCACCTCTTACTTAAAAGGGGACAATTGAGGGTTTTGCATGCAATGTTAAAAAATTTTTTGGTGATCGACTCTTCCGCCTTCTAAATACTTAAATCAATTCTCCCAACTTGACGCCTGACATTTGTTAACAAATGCCATTTTAAATTAATCACATAGCACTTGGTTGTTGTTTAGCTGTACTTATATGGGGTGTATATATTTACTTAACTTGCACTACAATGATGGTAATTATTCAATGAATAAGCTTCAAGTGAACATGGGGGTGTGTTTGTGAGGGAGATGTGTGAGTGTAGTATAGAGAACAAGTTCTGACGTTAAAACAAATCCTGTTACATTTTCTGATTTATATTTTTATTTTATTTTTTAATAAATTATTGTGTTCAAGGAGCAACCTGTATTTTTGCAATGTGAATTTGCAGTTCTGTTTTAGAATAAAGGGTTTGAAATTAAACTTTTTAATGCTGTTTTTTTTATCTGATTCATTGAAGAAATAATCGACCAATTAATTGAAAAAATAATCGTTTGT